CGCAGTTGCCACTGACGATGAGCGTTCCTCGGCGGATCTTGCCACCGCTGCCTCTTGAGTTTGCTGCGTAGCCCCGGGAAAGTCGTTACGTGGAGCAGCATCACCGGCGGAAAGCGTAAGTGAACGGTTGAAATCGTTTTCCATGATTGACTGGGCGGTGACTGCGTCGCGGGTTACGAGAATCCACTCGGATAAAACACAGCACTGAACTGCTGTCGCCAATCTGCTCCGCTTTTATAGCATTGTTCGCTGGACATATATGTACAAAAAATTTTAGCACAAAAATTTGCACATGCCACTTTTAAGGGAACGCAAAGCATCACGCCGGGGTCCACGTGGCGGTTGTTGCCTTACAGTATGCATTTATTGGCAGTTACTAAAACTCGGCTCGACTTGGCCAGAATTGGGCGCGATGGCCAAGATTGGGTGCAACTTGCGCGAGTAGCGATATTAGTTGTAATAATACCCAGCTGAATTGCACGGAAGAGTAAGTGTTAGTAAGGATACCGAAGATGCTGGTTTAAGTAGTAGGGGCGTAACAGGGAGGAGAGGCCTGGGCCGTGTTTGAAGTTATTAGGTTTTATGTGGACAGGAAACATCGCCTTAATAAATTTTCAGCTTTCTAGCTTTTCAGTTTCCCGAGTTATCAATTTACTCGCAAAAAATTTTCATCACTCTGCACGTGAGGACCGCGCACAGTTGAGAACCACGGAGGGAGCAGAGATCTTGCTTAGAAATATGAATTAGATAAAAGGGGAAAGGAATGATGAAGGGCGGGGAAGAGGTTTATTAGGGTTTATGATGCTAATCAAGAAATGAGGTGCTTGGGCAAAGCTCATTCGACATTTCAAAATTTCAGCAACACAAAAAACAGGGTACTGGGGTACGACTGCGATTGTTGTAACTCTCGTTCAAACCCGTAAACGAGTGCATTTTGTCCAAAATTGAGTACACATTGCTCGGCCGAGCTGAGCCGCGTTTTTTTTATAATTATTACAATTGTATGTGCCAGATGTAGCTGGCACTCTAATCTTACCTTTTTTTCCGTAACTGAATTAGGATCAGTCTTCATTTGCGCCGTTTCTTTCAAAAAACGCATTCT